ATTTGTAATCTCCTCCCATGAGATTGCCTCTATAAACCCACTGGAGATTCAGTTATCGGTCAGTTCCAACTCAACTTGATAGTACACAACAACAACCACATAGTGACCCTATGAATAACAGAGCTGAACCCTGTCCTATCCTGTGCCATCCTCACAATCTCTGACACATTCAAGCTCATTTACTGCAGTCACAATGTCAAGGAACCTGAGGGTCTTCCTCTCCTTTGCTGTCCCTCTCCAAGAAATAGCCTCTGCTAACATTATGCCCAAAGCTTTATCACCTTTGCCTCCAAGTGCCACTGTCTGCACTTTCCCTAAGACATATCTGTTTTTTTCTTTTGACAGTCCACGGGACATCCAGTACCACAGCTGACAGGTCTCAATTCTTCTTCTATCATTTTTATTCTTGTTCAGCTCTCAGATGCATAACAAGTGAATGAGACTATCATGACCTGAGTCATGCATACCTTAGTCTTCAAACTGATATCATTGCTCTTCAGTAATTTTGAGAGGTCCCTGACTAGACTTTACCAGTGCAATTCTCCTGATCTCCTGACTGTTAGTATCAAGTATACTGGCTGTGGATCCAAATAAGATGAAATCTTTGACAGTTTCAATCTTTTCTCCATCTATCATGACGTTTCCGCTCAGTCCAGTGGCAGGGGTGTTCTTTTTTTGGCATTGGGATGCAATCCATATTCAAGGCTGCCGTGTTGTGGTTGCCTAGCGGTAAGAAACAGTCCTGTAATTCCAAAGGCACTTGTGTCAAATCCATCAGCTACTCAACTGGAGAAGAATGGGCAGTCTCCTTCCATGGGATTTACTGCCTTGAAAACCTTCTGGAGGGTCAGTTACAAGCTGGTTTTGACTCAACAACACTCACCAGCAACAAGTCTTGCACTAATTCTTGTAAAAGAAGTTATTTGTATAACTTTTGTCAGAATATTGGGTTTTGCTGCAAAGATTCAGAGTCACTGTAACATGTAGCTTTTGATAAATGGCAGTAAATGAGAGCATGAGATATCTGTGTCCTGTCCTGAGACAGTCTTACTCCAACACACCTACCCCCATTTCCTTAGTTACTGTATCAATGCATCTCTTTCAGAGTCTTCCTCTTTTATACTGTCCCTCCACCCTTCTGAGAATTGTGTTCTCTAAGGATCAGTTCCTCCTGGCCATGTGCCCAAAGTATATGAGACAGAGTTTCAAAACCTGAACCTCCAAGGAGAAACTTGGTTTCATTCTCTCCAAGACAGTTATATTTGTTTTCTTGGTGGTCTATGGTATGGATCACACCATAATCTTCTCCAGCACCACAACTCAAAGGCGTAAATCCTTCTCTTATCCAGCTCTCTGATGTATAACAAGTAATTGCAAATACCATAGATTGGATCAGGAACATCTTTAGTCTCTAGACTGACATTGTTACTTCTCAGTAATCTGGAAAGGTCCTTGACAGCATTTACCTATTGCAATTCGTCTTTTGATTTCCTGACTGCTGGTGCACAATATGTCGATTGTGGAGACTAGCAAGCTGTAACTGTTAGCAACCTCAATCTCTTCTCCATCCATCATGATGCTGCCAGCTGGCCCAGTGGTGAGAATCTTTGTCACCTTGATGTTGAACTTCAATCCATATTGAAGAATACAGTCATTGACCTTCTCCATCAAGTGCTTCAGGTCTGCCTCAGTTTCAACAAGCAAGGTTGTGTCATCTGCATAACACAGGTTGTTGATGAATCTTCCTCCAGTCCTGATGCCACACTTCTCCTCATACAGCCCAACCTCCTGAATGATCGTTTCTGCATATAGATTGAAAAGGTATGGAGACAGGACACAACCCTGATGCACTCCTTTCTTGATTTTGAACCATGCAGTGTTTCCCTGCTCTGATCTAAGGACTGCTTCCTGGTCCAAGTATAGATTTTGCATAAGCACAATCAAGAGTTGTGCATTTACATGTTATTGTTGTTTTTGTTGTTGTTATGTGTCATCAAGTCACTGCGACTCATAGGAACCGTATGTACAACAGCTCTAAATCCTGCTCTATCCTGTGCCAATCTCATTGTCTCCGATACACCAATCCCCATCACCCCAATGATGGAATCTATCCATCTCATCGAGTGTTTTTCTCTCCTGTGCTGTCCCTCCACCCTTCCAAGCATGACAGGCCTCTCCAAGGACTGGTCCCTCCTTGCAACATGTCCAAATTACATCAGACAAAGCTTCAGAATCCTTGCCTCCAAGAAGCATCCTGGTTTCACCTTCTCCTGGACGAACTTGTTTGTTCTCCTAGCAGTCCATGGTATATTCAATACTCTTCTCCAGCACCAAAGCTCAAAGGCATCAACTCTCCTTCTATCACCCCTAGTCATTGTCCAGCTCTCTGAAGCATAGCAAGTAATGGTAAAGACCACGGCCTGTATCAGGCACACCTTTGTCTCCATACTGACATCGTTGCTCTTCAGTACCTTGAAGAGGTCTCTGACAGCAGACTTTCCCAATGCAATTCATCTTTTAATTTCCTGGCTGTTGGTACCAAGAGTGTTGATTGTAGAGCCAAGCAAACTAAAGCTGTCAACAATCTCAATCTCTTCATCATCTATCATGATGCTGCCAATCGGCCCAGTGGTGAGAATCTTTGTCTTCTTGATGTTGAGCTTCAATGCATATTGAAGGCTGTAGTCCTTGACCTTCTGCAGCAAGCGCTTCAGGTCCTCCACAGTTTCAGCCAGCAGGGTTGTGTCATCTGCATAACGCAGACTGTTGATGAGTTTACCTCAAATCCTAATGCCATAATTCTCCTCATAGAGCCCAGCCTCTATGTCCACACAAATACATACATATGTTCACAGTGCCTTTATTTTTCCTATCAAAAAATGGGGGGTGGAGCAAGGAATTGCAGTGTAGTAGTAAAATGGAATGCTCCTTAGCAATCAAGAGACATCTACTGACAGACACATACACATGGATAAACCTCAAAGCATTACACAGATAGAATCCATTCACAAAAGTATATATCATACATGATATCACTGTTAAGGTGTTTTAAAGAAAACAAACTGAAGGCTTCATGTACAAGGGGAATGTATGGTGCTGGATATCCATTTATTAAAGCTCATAGAACTGTACACTTCAAGTGAAATGTATTTTTTGTTAGTATGTGGGGGGACAAAAGGAAGAAGACCCTCAATCAGGTTGACACACTGACTACAGCAATAGGCTTAAGTGTGTCAGAGACTGTGAGGTTTGCACAAGATAAGTCAATGTTCAGATTTGTTGTCCAAAGGGTCAATATGAGTCACATTTGACTTGACAGTATCTAACAACAACAACAACATACCACAATAAAATTATTTTAAAGAATGTGTTGTTGTTGTTATATGCCATCGAGTCACTTGTGACCCATAGTGACCCTACGTACAACAGCCCTAAACTCTGCTCTGTCCTGTACCAATCGCATTGTCTCTGACACACCCACCCCAATTACCCCAGTCACTGAATCAATCCACCTCATAGCACCTCATAAAGGGTTTTCCTCTCCTGCGCTGTCCCTGCACCCTCCCAAGCATGATGTCCCTCTCCAAGGACCAGTCCCTCCTTACAACATATCCAAAGTATGTCAGGCAAAGCCTTGGAATCCTTGCCTGCAAGGAGCTTCCCAGTTTAACCCTCTCTAGGAGAACCTGTTTGTTTTCTTAGCAGTCCATGGTATACAGAGAGACCTGAATTGGAGATCATTCCGTTTTCATCTAAAAGTTTTCTTTATAATTTGATGTGCTCTTAAAATTATCTTCTGGGTTTCAAGAGCATTGCAAAATTTCATGGCAGCTTAGCCTGCATTAGCCAATTACAAACTCCAAAATAGTAAAATTAATTCAATGAAGTTACAAGCATCCCAGATTTACTATATACACAAGAATAACTGAACTGTTTCTAAGAGGGGCATCAATGCTTACATAAAAATTATACTGAATTAGAAACATAGCGCAAGGAAAATTGCAATGTATAAATTTATACTTGGAGGAATTACGGGAGGGCACCTAACCACACAAAAAATTAAAGATGATCTAATTCTGTGAGCTAGAAAAAGGATAATATTCTCCTTCTTGTACACACAGAGATAAAAGAATTCATTAGGTATTTTAGCCCACTATCACTGCCTCATGGGTAGAGGGACCACAAAAAACATAATAAAATGAGTGGAAAAAAATGCTGTGACTTTGTGTATGGAATCAGTTACAGCATTGGTTATAAAGGGCTTTCTTTCTCCTCCCAGCCATCTGAGGAAACATTCACGGTATTAGAATTGCAAGAGTAGAAGTTGAGTCCAAAAGAATTACAGACTACAGATTACCAAATTAGTACAGTAGTATTTATTACTGCAGAAGCAACATCCGAGGTAGTTGATTAAAGAGGCATTTCTTTTAAACCATCCGACTCATCACATCACGCAATTCCAAAGCATCATCTTAGAAAGAAAAGATAAAAAAGAAATTAGAATATAAAGATTATATGTAGCAGTAGGTAGTTTTCAGTGAAAAAAAAAAGCACATCCAATGTTCTTCAAAGTGTTAAGACAGCATTATCTGTAGACAAGTTCATCAGTTCACTTAGATGCATGGTCAGCACTCAGCATTGATCCTGACTGACCACCCTGGTGATGCTCAAGCTAGAGACAGCTGCATGGTCACTTGGAGCTATGATACAGAGAATAATTTTACCGAAGGCTGTGAGGGCTGACTCAACTAGGTGCCTCCTAAGAACAAGCCCCAATATATCATTTGAAAACTAGAAGATACACCTGGTATCCACTATTTTCCCCTTGGAGTTCTTTCTAGTGAAGTCTTCCAGATTTTAAAAAACAGATCCTTTTCTCTCCTTGTTACTCTTTCACCTTCAAAAGGCTTACAGATTGGTCCATCAAAGTAAGAGCTGGCTCTGAACCAAAGGCAGGGCAAAAAAGAATTCAAAGAATGTTCTGCGGTCCTTGGAGAGAGTTAGCTTTCTGCTTCCACTTGAAAGTTGTCAAACTGGGCAAATTCAAAAGAGTATGTTCCGATGGCAGCCCAGCCATTCTTCGGGAAATTCACATGGATGTTGTCCCACAGAGGTTTGCCGTCCAGCGTTCCAGAGCAGTTACGACCCTGGAAGGAAAAGACACACATCCTTGGAGACATCTGAAAATGGTCCTCTGAAATCTATTTCTGAATTATATACGGCACATGCTTCCACTTAATGGAAGAAATGTCTTCCTATCTAAGATAAAATGTAATTCTACAAGAGGGAGCAAAAGTTTGAAACACAGGAAACATTTTCTCAAAGGAAACACTTATCCACCTATCTAAACAGCTGTCAAGGGAAAAGAAATATCTCAGCATTTTCTCTGGTCCCATAAAAGATCCTAAAATGAGAAAAAATGTAAAAAAAAATCTTCATAATATCATTCTAATGCTTCAGGCAAAAGTCTTCAAAATTAAAAAGCACTTCTTATTGATTTACAAGCCGGTGTTATAGTTAACAGCTCTTGAGACCCAGTTTGGCTAGAGCTGACATAATTGACTCTACCACATTACTTATTTAAAGTCTTCTGTAAGGAACGTTAGCTCAACCAGAAGAGACTCAATTAACCAGAGCTCCACTATTCTGTCCTGATGTATAGATGATCGCGTCAAAGCCATGGTATTTCAGAAGCACCTGAGTAAACTATCAGTAAACAGATGGCTGGAGAGAAAGGAAGGGTCACCAAGATAGGACTTATTGATCACTGAGTGAGAAAGTAAAAAATAACGGCTTCAGACAGTTGCAACATGGTTACCACTGCTGTGAGATATAAGGAGTTTCACTTGGGTGTGGAAACACTTTTTATCTTTTTATTGTTGTTATGTGTTGTCAGGTCACCTGTGACTCTTAGCGACCCTGTGTATAACAGCCCTAAACCCTGCTCTATCCTGTCAATCCTATTCTCTCCGATGCACCTACTCCCATTACCCCAGTCACTGAATCAATCCAGCTCTTTGAGGGTCTTCCTCTCCTGCGCTGTCCCTCCACCCTTCCAAGCATGACGTCCCACTCCGAGGACTGGACGACCCTCCTTGCAACATGTAGGTCAGACGAAGCTTCAGAATCCTTGCCTCCAAACAGCAGCCTGATTTCACCATCTCTAAGATGAACCTGTTTGTCCTCTTAGCAGTCCATGGTACATTCAATACTCTTCTCTAGCACCACAGCTCAAAAGCATCAATTCACAATAGCAAGGAATTGGAAACAACCTAAGTGTCCATCAACAAACGACTGGATAGAGAAGCTGTGGTATAGTCACACAATGGAATACTATGCTGCATTGAAAAACAAGGAACTCATGCAATATTCTTCAAAATGGGTGACCCTGAAGGACATTAGGCTGAGTGAAATATCTCAGTCACAAAAGGACAAATACTGCAGAGTGGCACTGTTGTAAAATAGGACTGATATCAGGGTTGGGGTAAGACTGAGAAAAACTGGATAAATTATGTATACTGTATTGAAACAGATGAGGGAAAGAACAGTTTAAAAGCGATATATGATAAGGTATTATGGTTATCACAGGAATCCAGAATTAAGGTTGCATAGTGGAGTGCATTTGGGGTGGGGATTGTATAACAATGAAGGAGTTTATCTTTTGCCTTTCGAAGAGAAGAATGAACTGGGACAGGAAGGTAGAGAAAAAAGTGCAACAATGAATAAATGGAAATCCAAAATCTCTGTAAATGTTCATTAATTAATAAAATAAATCTTTTTTTAAAAGGCATAAATTCTCCTTCTATCATCCCTAGTCATTGTCCAGCTCTCTGATGCATAGCAAGTAATTGCAAAGACTATGCCCTGGTCTCAAAGGCAATCAATAACAACAACATGCCCTAGATTAGTACTCTGGAGAGGTCTCTGACAGAAGACTTTCCCAATGCAATTTGTCTTTTAACTTCCTGGCTTCTGGTGCCAAGAGTGTTGATTGTGGAACCAAGCAAACTAAAGCTGTTAACAATGTCAATCTCTTCACCATCTATCATGATGCTTCCAATTGGCCTGGTGGTAAGAATCTTTGTTTTCTTGATGTTGAGCTTCAATCCATATTGAAGGCTGCAGTCCTTGACTTTCTGAGCAAGAGCTTCAGGTCCTCCTCAGTTTCAGCCAGCAGGGTTGTGTCATCTGCATAATGCAGGTTGTTGATGAATCTTCTTCCAATCCTGATGCCACATTTCTCCTCACAGAGCCAAGCCTCCCGGATAATCTGTTGTGCATAAAGATTGAAAAGGTATGGAGATAGGATACTTTCCCAGTTTTGAACTATGCAGTGTTTCCCTGCTCTGTTCTGAAGACTGCTTCCTGGGCCAAGTATAAGTTTCCCATAAGCATTATCAAGTATTCTTAGATTCCCATTCTTCTCAGAGGTAGCCACAGTTTGTTGTAATTCACACAGTGAAATGCCTTTGCATGGCCAATGAAACATGGGTAAATATTCTTCTGGTATTCCCTGCTTTCAGCCAAGATCCATCTAACATTAGCTACAATATCCCTAGTACAAAGACCCCTTCTAAACCCAGCCTGCACTTCTGGCAGTTCTCTGTTGTTGTGCTGTTCCAGTCATTTTTGGATAATTTTCAGTAGACTCTTGATTGCATGTGGTATTAATGATACTGTTTGATAATCTCCACACTTGTTATATCACCTCTCTTTGGAACTGGAACAAATATAGATCTCTTCTAGTCAGTAGGCCAGGTGGTTGTCCCCCAGATTTCTTGGCACAACTTGGTGACCACATCCAGAGCAACATCTGTTTGTTGAAAAATGCCATTGATATGCTGTAAATCTTTGGGGCCTTGATTTTTGCCAATTTTATCAGAGCAGCTTGAACGTCTTCCTTCATCACCACAATCTCTTGCTCATATGCTGTTTCATGAAAATGTTCTGTGTTTGCCAATTCCTTTTGGTACAGTGACTCTGAATACTTTCCATCTTCTTTCAGTGCTTTCTGGATCATTTAATATTCTGTCCAAAGTATTGCAACTTGAGGCTTGAATTTGTTCTTGAGTTCCTTGAGCTTAAGAAATGCTGAGCAAGTTTGGCCCCTTTGATTTTCTGACTCCAGCTCTTTGCACATTTCATTGTAATATGTTACTTTGTCTCCCTGTGCTGCCCTTTGAAACCTTCTGTTCAGCTCCTTAATATTTTGATTTCTCCCATCTGCTTTGGCTTCTTGGTGCTCTAGTGCAATATTCAGAGTCTCTTCTGACATCCATTTTGGTCTTTTCTTCCTCCTCTGTCTTTATAATAACCTTTTGCACTCTTCCTGGATGATACTCTTAATATCCTCCCACAGCTCATCTGGTCTTAGTTCATTAGTGTTTGTGGTCTCAAACCCATTCCTGAGATGGTTTTGGAATTCAGATGGGATAGATTCAAGGTCATATTTTGGTCCCTGTGGATTTAATTTCCCTTAGCTTCAGCTTGAACTTGCATACAAGAGATAAAAGGAGAAGAAAAAAAAATCCAGAAGAGCAAGGGAAATCTTAGAACCAAAGAGGGAGAAGCTAGAAAATAACTGTATCCTTTGGACCTAAGATCCATGCACAATAAATATCTTGGAAACACAAGAGATTCAGCCACGACATATGGAGATTGCCAAGAAATCTTTAAAAGGTAAAGGAGAGAAGAACATTCCTCCAAAAGCTGTAGAAAGAAAAGCCTCCCCCTTACAATGGGTATTCTAGGCTGGTGTGTGTGTGTGTGTTTGTTTGTTTGTTTGTTTGTTTGTTTGTTTGTTGTTTACTTCAAGCCTCCTCAATTATAAGAGAATAAATGTCTGTCTGCCAAAGGCATCACTTAGAGTCTTTCTATTATGGCAGCACTAAACTACTGAAAAAGATCTCAGCTCATCTCTTCCTTTGCTTTGCTCTCCAGGCCTTGGCCACCCAAGCCTCCTGGCCGCTCTGCACCCTTTGCACTAGCTGTGTTCCCTCTGTTCAGAAGACTCATCCTATCATGGGAGAAAACAGTGGAGAAATATTCAAAATCATAGAAAAGACCAGAGTTACTATGGCTCTGAGTTGCTGTTTGTTAGATGCTGTCGAGTCAAGTTTTACTTACATCAACACTATGAACAACAGATCTGAACCCTGTCCTCTCCTGTGCCATCTTCATCTTCTCCGACACACGTGAGCCCACTGCTGCAGGCACTGTGTCCGTCTAGCTCGTTGATAATCTTCCTCTCTTTCGCTGACTCTACATTTCCAAGCATGGTGTCCCTTTCCAAGGAATACTCTCTTCTAGCAACCTGTCCAAAGTATGATACGGAGTTTCACCATCCTTACTTTTAAGGAATACTCTGGCTGGAAACGTTCATTACAAAGTCAGAGGAAAAAGGAAAAACCAAAATGATTGGCAGAAGAGACTATGAAAAGTGCATTAAAGCCATTATGAAGCCAAACAGGGGAAGATATGGCAAAATAAAAGCAGTCAACGGAAGATTTCAAAGGAAAGTTTGAAAAGACAACGAAAGTATTACAATGAATGTGGTCAGAGAATCAAAAGGGAAGAACTTACTGCACATTTATCAAGCTGAAAGAACCATGAATCAAATTCAAGGCTTAAGGTGTAATACTGAGAGATGTCATGCACAAAATCTTGAAGAAACCAGGAAGCAGCAAAAGAAGGCAGAGGGTGGAGAGGGGAGGAAATAACTAGGAACTAGGACAGATCCAATGTGGACCTGAAAAGATAAGGTAATAATAGGCGTAGGTCAATGGTGATTAATTTTATAAAGAGTGTAAATGAATGATCATATAAAAGACTATGTGAATGAAGGAATATGTGAAGCACAATATGCATTAATAAAACAACATACACAAACTTTGCATGCAAACCTATAAAAAGGTTTTTTTTACAGTATTTGTCTTTATGAGACTGAGTTAATTCACACGGCATAATGCTCTCCAGTCCCTCTCAAATTAGGTAATAATTTACAAAATCATTGCTCCTGCATGCTGCAAAGTACACCACTGTGTGAAAGTACCCTAATTTCTCAATCCATTCCATTGTGGTTGGACATTTGGGCTGTTTCCATGTTCTTGCGATGGTGAATAACACTGCTAGGAACATTGGTGTACATTTAAAAAAAATAAATAAGACAGAAAGAATGTACCAAGTCACTGTACTAAAAACAACTGGCTGAAACGGAAAAATTTCAGGAGATGCCATATAAAAAGAGCCAGTGGTAACGACAAGGAACTTCAAGTTTCACTGAAGGCACTGGAAAGACACAAGGCCCCTGGAATCAATGGGATACCAATGGACATGTTTCAGCCAATAGATGGAGCCCTGGAAATTTTGGAGGATAGATGTGTGGCCAATGGACTGGAAGAGATCCATATTTATTCTCATTCTCAAGAAAGATGATCCAACAGAATATGGAGATTATCTAACAATATCATTAATATCACATGCAAGCAAAATATTGCTGAAGATCATGTAAAAATGTTCAGAACAGACACTGACAGAGAACTGTCAGAGCTAAAGCTAGGTTTAGAAGAAACCATGGCACTAGGGATGTCATTGCTGAGGTCAGATGTATCCTGACTGAAAGCAGAGATCACCAGAAGAATGTCTATTTGTTTTACTGACTATGCAGAGGCATTTGACTGTGTGGATCATAACAAACTATAGTTTACATTGAGAAGAATGGGAATCCCAGAACACTTAATTATGTTACTACAAAAATCTATAGTTAGACCAAGAAGTTTTCTGAATGAAGCAAAGGAATACTGCATGGCCCTGAGATACCATCTAAGTTGAAACTAATCCAACCTCCAAGGATCACTCTTTTTTTTAAAGAGTGTGTGTGTGTGTGTGTGTGTGTGTGTGTGTGTGCACGCGTGCCATCAAATCAGATCTGACTGGTACAGGAGGAGATTGCCCCTCCTTCTCCAGTACAGCATCTGGTGGATTTGAACCATGTACCTCTGGGATTGCAGTGCAGCTTCTTGCCACTAGGCCACCAAAGCTCCCTCAAGGATCGCTCTTTACTCAAACAGTAGACAGACCCATAAAGGGAACACTGATATCTGTGAAGAACATACATCTCAGAACTAACAACTATATGAGACCAAACAAGAAGCATTTGCTCAAAACCAAAGCTCCAAGACAGGAGAGGACAGCAATGAAGGATGGCTAAGTGGGAGCAGTATGAGTAGTAGCCGCTGTGGTTAGCCAGAGGTTCGGAAGAGGACAGTAAGGATGGTTAGGCAAAGCACCAGGCATTTTAAAGCCAGTGAAAATACCCCGCAGGAATGCATTACTCATTAGTCAAAACCCACAGAAGAGTGCATAATAAAATGCAAACTCTGATATAAATATGCACTGCAAATTATTCTTAAAAACAATGCATCAGTATTTGTTCAGTTGTAAGAAATGTACAAACTACTGCATGACGTTGGTAACGGTGGGCGTTGTTCTTGGAGGTGGGAAGAAGGAGCTCTCTCACGAAACTGGAAGCCAAAGATTGATGGTTCGAATCCCCCAGCCACTCCACCACAAGATGTCACCTGATGACCTGCCCCTGGAAATATTTTAGTCTAGAAAACCAGGAGGAAGTTCCACCCTGTCCTATAGGGTCATTTTGAGTTTGCTCCACTTGGAAACACCTAATGCCAACAGTGACCACCACAATGGACTTGAGTAGGGTGCAGGCCATGATGACGGCACAAGGCAGGGCAGGTTTCAGGTCTGTCGCTCACAGGGTCGCTGTGGGTCCTAATCAGCTTGACAGCACCTAAGAATAACACAGGCAACAACTAAACTGCTAAAAAAATAACGTAACTAAATAATTTCATAATAAAATAACCAATGTATATGCCTTTGAAGTTCTAATTGTAGTCTCAGTCAATGACTCTTCAGTTTAAAAACGTCAAATTTTTTTTAAAGAATTTTTTTTCTTTGAACTTTTA